CTTCCAGCTAAGGATCAATTTCCATTGCTTCTCGCTGGGCGACTCTGTGTAAAGGCAGTCGTTTGGGATAGCCATAGGCCCACCCTTAGCTCAGTTTTGGCTAACATATCCATGGGCCATTTGGAGGAGAAACCTAATCCACACATCCCCAATGGAGTAACATGACTGCGATATATGGACAACATCCTGGTTATCGTACCCAAACAACTCGACACAAATGAACTTAATCAACCCTCAATCAAGATCATGTCTCACCATGATCCGAGGACAGAAGAGTCTTCAAAGGATTCTATTTGAGGGTGTATAGAATCTGATCCCATGGTTTCATTGTAGTTTTCACCAAACTACAACACCCAACACTGTCAAGAACTTAGTAACAAGAGAAGCACACATTACGAAGACACTAGAACTGACATCTACATCATCCCACGTAGGGAAGTGGAACAAACTACGTGAAGGGAGACTTATAGGAGATTGGCAAAATACATCAGAGAACACTAATACATTTGTCGAAGAGATAATTTTAGCAATGCCTGCACTATTCACCGCAGCTCCCACAAACACATCTTCCAAAATGCGAAAATTAAATTTCAAACAAAAAGTAAGAAGCACAACAGGCGCTATTCAGAATCTGTTCTAATCTGAAATGTCACTTCTATCATACAGAACCCTGACTGTCTTTTATTTCAGATCTTCTCGCTAGACTCATCCCGCACAAATCAAACACCACCATCACGTAGCTATAACCCATGACACAATATAATACATACTCTGTAAACTTCGAATCATTGAATTAAACAGAAGTCTCTGGTGGGCGAAACGTCTTAATAAACATCCTAATACAGCGTGTCTCACGGAAGTGTCTATGTTTACCCTCAAGCCGAAGAGCATCTAGTAGACACATGACAAGCGGCCATAATTAACACACAGAGGAACACTCTCTCACAAGCGCATTAAATATGTACCAACTAGCAAGTATTAAATCTGAGAGTTTATGAACAAACTTGTAAGTTGCGAGAGCTGAGCTGGGAAGTAAATCCTCTGTTTTAGGTCTGGAAGAAAGTTAACAGTGAGTAATAAGCTTAGGGTCATCTTAAGATTGTTTTAAGGCCCCGAATCTGAAGCTGCCCATCAATATTTCTGTCTTTTGGAAGAATTCATAGATCCTACTGAAAGATTTTTTTGAGAAATGCGGGACTACAGAAAATTACAGGTTTGCAGGCAATCTTCTGGACTACAAGCATTCTACAGAACCACAAGTAATTTACAGGACTACAAGATACTGCCATACAGGCTCTGGTGGCCTGGTGGTTAACGCTCTCGCTTCACACGGTGAGGGCCTGGGTTCGATTCCCAGACAGAGTAGAAACATTGGACGTGTTTCTTTCCACCTGTTGTCTATGTTCCCCATCAGTAAAATGGGTACCTGGGTGTTAGTCGACTGGTGTGGGTCGCATCCTGGGACACTGACCTAAGGAGGCCTGGTCACAGACCGGGCCGCGGGGGCGTTGACCCCCGGAACTCTCTCCAGATAAACTCCAGATAAACACAAACAAACACATATGCCACAAAACTCATCCTAATCATCCGTAAGCTCTAACTCGTATAATTAATTTGATTATAATTAATGACCCACAAACACTGCCATGTGTAATGATAGTAATTAATTTAGATCATTATACCGTGATGCGAGTATATTAGGGTTGTGATGGGTATGTAGTTTGTGGTGTTGAGTGTGAGTGGTGGTATGTTGTGTTCTGTGGTGTTGGTGTTGTGAGTGGTGCTATGTTGGTTCTGTGGTGTTGGTGTTGTGAGTGGTGGTATGTTGGTGTTCTGTGGTGTTGGTGTTGTGAGTGGTGGTATTTTGGTGTTCTGTGGTGTTGGTGTTGTGAGTGGTGGTATGTTGGTGTTCTGTGGTGTTGGTGTTGTGAGTGGTGGTATGTTGGTGTTCTGTGGTGTTGGTGTTGTGAGTGGTGCTATGTTGGTGCTCTGTGGTGTTGGTGTTGTGAGTGGTGGTATGTTGGTGTTCTGTGGTGTTGGTGTTGTGAGTGGTGGTATGTTGGTGTTCTGTGGTGTTGGTGTTGTGAGTGGTGGTATGTTGGTGTTCTGTGGTGTTGGTGTTGTGAGTGGTGGTTTGTTGGTGTTCTGTGGTGTTGGTGTTGTGAGTGGTGGTATGTTGTGTTCTGTGGTGTTGGTGTTGTGAGTGGTGGTATGTTGGTGTTCTGTGGTGTTGGTGTTGTGAGTGGTGGTATGTTGGTGTTCTGTGGTGTTGGTGTTGTGAGTGGTGGTATGTTGGTGTTCTGTGGTGTTGGTGTTTAGTGGGTAGTGGTTCGGTGTTGTGTTGTGAGTGGTGGTATGTTGGTGTTCTGTGTTGTTGGTGTTGTGAGTGGTGGTATGTTGGTGTTCTGTGGTGTTGGTGTTGTGAGTGGTGGTATGTTGGTGCTCTGTGGTGTTGGTGTTGTGAGTGGTGGTATGTTGGTGTTCTGTGGTGTTGGTGTTGTGAGTGGTGGTATGTTGGTGCTCTGTGGTGTTGGTGTTGTGAGTGGTGGTATGTTGGTGTTCTGTGGTGTTGGTGTTGTGAGTGGTGGCATGTTGGTGTTCTGTGGTGTTGGTGTTGTGAGTGGTGGTATGTTGGTGTTCTGTGGTGTTGGTGTTGTGAGTGGTGGTATGTTGGTGTTCTGTGGTGTTGGTGTTGTGAGTGGTGGCATGTTGGTGTTCTGTGGTGTTGGTGTTGTGAGTGGTGGTATGTTGGTGTTCTGTGGTGTTGGTGTTGTGAGTGGTGGTATGTTGGTGTTCTGTGGTGTTGGTGTTGTGAATGGTGGTATGTTGGTGTTCTGTGGTTTTATGTTGCTGTGTTTATGGCGTTATGTTGCTGTGTGTGGCGGTATGTTGGTGTTCTGTGTGTGTGGTGTTATGTTGTTGTGTATATGGTGTTAAAGTGCTATGTGTGGTGTCATTTTGGTATTTTGTGGTGTTATGTTGCTGTGTATTGTATTATGTTACTGTGTGTGTGGTATTATGTTGCTCTTTGGTGTTACGTTGGTGTGTTGTGGTTTTTATGTCGACTTCTACGTTCTTATGTTGGCGTTTTGTGTTCGTATGTAGGTGTTTTGTAGTGTTGTTAAGTTAGTGTAGTGTTGTTAAGTTAGTGTTCTGTAGTGCTGTGTTAACGTCTGTGGTGTTAAGTATACACATGAGGACCAGCTCCAAAATTTCCGTCTTGAGGTGCTTGACTATCTCGCTGCTTAGATGAAGGCTTGAGCACACTGTCTTTCCAGAGCAACTACACTGTTTTTATCCTTAGTGTGTATCTTAATGACGAATTTAAAAGTAGGAATGTTTTCTTAAGATCCTTTTATCCATATACAATAGTTAGAAAACCAGTTCCAGTAACGAAAAAAATAGGAACATTAATTACGTACCTAATATTACATGAATAAGTTTGATATCAAAATAATGATCTTGCATCTTGGCCTTACTGATGTAATTGTAAATAACAGGAGCATAATAGATTCGTTCTACTCGAGGGAACCGGATATAAAAGTTATAGCAGTGTCAGTCTTGTGTTGTAGAAAAAGGCACTTGTGGATAGTTTTGTGGTGATTGAAAGCATACGTACCAGTGGTACCTTTAACGTTCATAATTATGTTGATAATTGTATGAAATACCGATAATTTGATGTTTAGGACACATGTGCAGCAGTTGGGTATCTTTATTGATGAAACGTTTCGCCTACACAGTAGGCTTCGTCAGACAAATCAAGGAGTAGTAGTTATGAAATAAAGACGATGTAATTAGTTCATTATTGATGGACTAATTACACCATCTTTATTTCTGTATTTGACTGAAGAAACTTACTGTATTGGCGAAACGTTCCATCGGTCAAGATACCCAGCTGTTCAGAATCTTCCTGGCTCATTTCGATTTGATAGATATAACTGCAATATCATTTGTTCTTCTGTCACTAGTGTTCCTCAAGTGCGTTTAGACAGCCGCAGACAGAGGTAAACAACGACTACGTGTTTAAGTGTTGTAGAATTAACTGGAGGAGCCACACTGATGCTTACCAGCCCCCAAGCCTCCTCTTGGCGCCACTACTGATATATATATATATATATATATATATATATATATATATATATATATATATATATAATATATATATATATATAATATATATATATATATATATATATATATATATATAATATATATATATATATATATATATATATATAGGTAGGTATCCCTCTATTTTCTTGCATCATACGTCATTGCCACACACATTTTCCAGTCGCTTTACTGCCCCTGAGGGTTTAGCGCTCTCCCCATGAATACATATATATATCCAGGAGGTTCGGTTTTCGATATGTTTACCATAAGCGTGAGCAGGATAAACGAAATTTTATTCTGGAGTATCTTTCCAGTGTCGATTTAAAGACGAAATTTTGTGAAAACGAGAGAATGAGTGACCGAGGGAGGGTCCCTTCAATGGTCCCTTCAATGGTCCCTTCAATGGTCCCTTCAATGGTCCCTTCAATGGTCCCTTCAATGGTCCCTTCAATGGTCCCTTCAATGGTCTTTTCAATGGTCCCTTCAATGGTCTCTTCAATGGTCCCTTCAATGGTTCCTTCAATGGTCCCTTCAATGGTCCCTTCAATGGTTCCTTCAATGGTCCCTTCAATGGTCCCTTCAATGGTCCCTTCAATGGTCCCTTCAATGGTCCCTTCAATGGTCTTTTCAATGGTCCCTTCAATGGTCTCTTCAATGGTCCCTTCAATGGTCCCTTCAATGGTCCCTTCAATGGTCCCTTCAATGGTCCCTTCAATGGTCTTTTCAATGGTCCCTTCAATGGTCTCTTCAATGGTCCCTTCAATGGTTCCTTCAATGGTCCCTTCAATGGTCCCTTCAATGGTCCCTTCAATGGTCCCTTCAACTAGACTGCCTTCCTCTCGCAGGGCGCTGCATGGCTCCATCGGGTTTAGCACTTCCACGTGATTATGGGTGAAAAGAAAAATTCGTGAGAATTTTTTAAAAATGAGATTTTTGTTTTTTAATTTGTGAGAGAATTATACACAAGTGAATAACATAGACATGAACAATATTTGTAAATTGTTGCAGCCATGGTATTGTGGGTTTGTTGTGAATTGTTGCAGCCATGGTATTGTGGGTTAGTTGTGAATTGTTGCAGCCATGGTATTGTGGGTTAGTTGTGAATTGTTGCAGCCATGGTATTGTGGGTTAGTTGTGAATTATTGCAGCCATGGTATTGTGGGTTAGTTGTGAATTATTGCAGCCATGGTATTGTGGGTTAGTTGTGAATTGTTGCAGCCACGGTATTGTGGGTTTGTTGTGAATTGTTGCAGCCACGGTATTGTGGGTTAGTTGTGAATTGTTGCAGCCATGGTATTGTGGGTTAGTTGTGAATTGTTGCAGCCACGGTATTGTGGGTTTGTTGTGAATTGTTGCAGCCATGGTATTGTGGGTTAGTTGTGAATTGTTGCAGCCACGGTATTGTGGGTTAGTTGTGAATTGTTGCAGCCATGGTATTGTGGGTTAGTTGTGAATTGTTGCAGCCATGGTATTGTGGGTTAGTTGTGAATTGTTGCAGCCACGGTATTGTGGGTTAGTTGTGAATTGTTGCAGCCATGGTATTGTGGGTTAGTTGTGAATTGTTGCAGCCATGGTATTGTGGGTTAGTTGTGAATTGTTGCAGCCATGGTATTGTGGGTTAGTTGTGAATTGTTGCAGCCATGGTATTGTGGGTTAGTTGTGAATTGTTGCAGCCATGGTATTGTGGGTTAGTTGTGAATTGTTGCAGCCATGGTATTGTGGGTTAGTTGTGAATTGTTGCAGCCATGGTATTGTGGGTTAGTTGTGAATTGTTGCAGCCATGGTATTGTGGGTTAGTTGTGAATTGTTGCAGCCATGGTATTGTGGGTTAGTTGTGAATTGTTGCAGCCATGGTATTGTGGGTTAGTTGTGAATTGTTGCAGCCATGGTATTGTGGGTTAGTTGTGAATTGTTGCAGCCATGGTATTGTGGGTTAGTTGTGAATTGTTGCAGCCATGGTATTGTGGGTTAGTTGTGAATTATTGCAGCCATGGTATTGTGGGTTAGTTGTGAATTATTGCAGCCATGGTATTGTGGGTTAGTTGTGAATTGTTGCAGCCACGGTATTGTGGGTTAGTTGTGAATTGTTGCAGCCATGGTATTGTGGGTTAGTTGTGAATTGTTGCAGCCACGGTATTGTGACTTCCACTCATAGAAACAGGGGAACGGGGGGTCCTTAATCCAAGTATGTCTATAGACCTGGTCAACTATTGGAAATTTGGGCGCTTTTGTAAGCACATGTACGTGCATGTACGTGCATGAACGTGCATGTACGTGCGCGTACGTCGGTACACCATACCGAACTCTGAACAGTATTTATATGGATGTATAATAGCAAGCCCTGAACAGAACGAACGTTGCTACCTACACAGTACCAGTCCCTGAACAAACCTTGCTACCTGCACAGTACCAGTCCCTGAACAAACCTTGCTACCTACACAATACCAGTCCCTGAACAAATCTTGCTATCTACACAATACCAGTCCCTGAACAAACCTTGCTACCTACACAATACCAGTCCCTTAACAAATGTTGCTATCTACACAATACCAGTCCCTGAACAAACCTTGCTACCTACACAATACCAGTCCCTTAACAAATGTTGCTATCTACACAATACCAGTCCCTGAACAAACCTTGCTACCTACACAATACCAGTCCCTGAACAAATCTTGCTATCTACACAATACCAGTCCCTGAACAAACCTTGCTACCTACACAATACCAGTCCCTGAACAAATCTTGCTATCTACACAATACCAGTCCCTGAACAAACCTTGCTACCTACGCAATACCAGTCCCTGAACAAACCTTGTTACCTACACAATACAAGTCCCTGAACAAACCTTGCTACCTACACAATACCAGTCCCTGAACAAATCTTGCTATCTACACAATACCAGTCCCTGAACAAACCTTGCTACCTACACAATACCAGTCCCTGAACAAACCTTGCTACCTACACAATACCAGTCCCTTAACAAACCTTGCTACCTACACAATACCAGTCCCTGAACAAACCTTGCTACCTACACAATACCAGTCCCTGAACAAACCTTGCTACCTACACAATACCAGTCCCTGAACAAACCTTGCTACCTACACAATACCAGTCCCTGAACAAACCTTGCTACCTACACAATGCCAGTCCCTGAACAAACCTTGCTACCCACACAATACCAGTCCCTGAACAAACCTTGCTACTTACACAATACCAGTCCCTGAACAAACCTTGCTACCTACACAATACCAGTCCCTGAACAAACCTTGCTACCTACACAATACCAGTCCCTGAACAAACCTTGCTACCTACACAATACCAGTCCCTGAACAAACCTTGCTACCTATACAATACCAGTCCCTGAACAAACCTTGCTACCTACACAATACCAGTCCCTGAACAAACCTTGCTACCTACACAATACCAGTCCCTGAACAAACCTTGCTACCTACACAATACCAGTCCCTGAACAAACCTTGCTACCTACACAATACCAGTCTCTGAACAAACCTTGCTACCTACACAATACCAGTACCTGAGCAAACCTTGCTACCTACACAATACCAGTCCCTGAACAAACCTTGCTACCTACACAATACCAAGCCCTGAACACGGCTGGGAACAATTGTACTGGGACATTTAAAAAAGAATCGCACACCATCGCCTCTCTGTTGATTGTCCCCCTCCCTCCCTCCCTCCCCCTACCCCCTCCACCATCCCATTCCCCACATCCCCCCCCCATGAAAAAAAAATTATTGAAAATTGTTCTTGCCCCATCTGCTTCAAATTCTATTCTTTCCTGGATTTAAAATACGTTATTACCGTCCAATAAAATTTCTTGGCAGCACTCTTTATTATGGCGTATGTAATGACGTACCATACGAGCATGTGCTGAGAGAGCAACATCCGCCGCAGCCAGCATAATGATGATGCTGGTAATTTTAAGGTTGTATCATGTTGAGGTGAAGCTTGCGTCATGTTGAGGTGAAGCTTGCGTCATGTTGAGGTGAAGCTTGCATCATGTTGAGGTGAAGCTTGCGTCATGTTGAGGTGAGGCTTGCGTCATGTTGAGGTGAAGCTTGCGTTATGTTGAGGTGAAGCTTGCGTCATGTTGAGGTGAAGCTTGCATCATGTTGAGGTGAGGCTTTGCGTCATGTTGAGGTGAGGCTTGCGTTATGCTGAGATGAAGTTTGTGTCATTCTGAGGTGAAGCTAATGTTATATCATGCTAAGCTGCACTATAAATCAAGCTGAAGTTCATATCAAGTTAAGCTGAAATTTATGTCATGTTAGATCATGTTAAGCTGAAGTTTGTATCCTGTTAAACTACAGCGCGTATCATGTTAATTTGAAGGACCATCCCATCAATCCTAGCACCACCCCATCCACTCTAGCACCACTCCATCCATCCTAGCACCATCCCATCCGCCCTAGCACCACCCCATCCACCCTAGCACCACCCCCTTCACTCTAGCATAGCCCCCTAGGGTGATCCTAACACGGAGGTATTTAAATCTGAGGTGGTTAGAAGGAGAGGGTCGTCCTAGGAAGGGCTGAAGGGAGTGGTGAGAGGTGCTTTGATTGATAGGGGCTTGGACATCCAGCAGGCTTATGTGAGCATGTTAGTTTGTAGTGAGACGAGATAACTAACCTCCCTCCCACTACACAGTATTGACCACCCTCACTCCCACTACTTTCTTGACCACCTCACTCCCTCTACTCCCTTGACTACCTCACTCCCACTACTCCCTTGACCACCTCCCACTAACAACCTCTCTGAGTTATGATACAAGAACTGCAATTCCATTTTCAACATCACAGCCGGATTATTACATTTCCTCTCCCAAGACCTGTTAAAGAATAATGCCTACGCCGTTTTATTAAATGTAGAGAGACTTGAAGTTATACCGATTATATTGTTATGAGCCAGTGACATGAATGCTGTTGCGTGTGTGGTTGTATACTACATGTGTCAGGAATTATGAGATATGTAATTATGTGAGTTGATTGCGCAGCAGTGATTTGTTAGGCGTTGCCATGACAGAGAATTATTATTATTATTATTATTATTATTATTATTATTATTATTATTATTATTATTATTATTATTATTATTATTATTATTATTATTATCATCATCATCAGGAGGTAGAATTTTAAAAGGATTCGGATTGTCTTTAGACATTTTCAGACTTATCTATGTGTTTTTTTGAGGTGTGGGCACCACACAACCGCTGTATATTCCAATTTTGAACCGATATAAGTAATAAGTTGTTAACATTTCGCCCTCCACACGTTGTAAAACAAGCTTTTGTTGGGACAACGTTTCGCTCTATAACTTGGTAAAACTCTACACGGGGAAAAACGCTTCTAAATATAACCTTGATCTGTAAGGAGTGCCTTTTTCTTAATATTTTAGAAATTCGACTCAGGTTTGGCTGGCGAAGAGCAAGAGCCATGATTAGTGGTCGGAGGACCAAGCCTCCACCAATCCTTGCAGTGAATGACGCACGGGAGTGCAACCCTTCGCACCCTTACGCACCTCGTACGTAACATCCGAAAGACGAACGCAACACCACTGCAAAATCTATTCATTTTATTGAATCTAATAACCTGACGTTATAAATCACACACAAACATCAACACTGCCAAGGGACATGAAGTGAGAGTTATATTAGATTCAGACACGCAACAACTGCCCACCAGATCACTTCTTAATTTTAGTATATAAACGATTATTGTAAAAAATAAAAAGAGAAAAATATGATTGCTTGAAATATAAATACTTCTTTGTTTACTTTGTCATCAGGTTGATATTCTGAGTGTCTTAGACAGGCAGGACTGATGCTGTCTTCAGGGTGACGACCAGAGCGTCTTAGACAGGACTGATGCTGTCTCCAGAGTGAC